TCCCAGCACCAAATCAGGTTACTATAAAATTATCAGTCTTCCAAATTAAAAAACCAACCCTGGCCGGTTTGGCTCAGCAGTTAAAGCATTGGCCCACAGACCAGAGAGACCCAGGTTTGGTTTCCACTAAGGGCACGTACCTCGGTTGCAGTTTGTCTCCAGTACCAGTTGGGGTTGTGTGGGTGGCAACCAGTTGGTGTATCTCTCTCACATCGATGTGTCTGTCTGTTTCTCTCCTACCCTCTCTCCCTCCCACTCTATCTGAATATAAATGCAAAAATGTCCTCGAATAAGGATTAAAAAAATAAAAAATAATAAAAAAAATAAAAAACCCTGTGAACAGCAAGGCCAAAACATCAAATCACTTATAAAGGGGAAAATAATTCAGGCTTATCCCAGATTTCTCAACAGCAACATTCACTATTGTAAAACAAGGACTACCACCAAGATCCTCTCGTTGGGATCAAACTTATTTTATATCTGGTAAAACTGTTTTACAAGAATGTACTACAGTGAAAATGAGAGAAGTCAAAGAATGCTGTTCACAGGACGTTCCTCAGGAATTTACTAGAGAATGAACTACAAACAAACAGGAAATAACTAAAGAAACTATGACAGTCTGACCAGTGTCGCTCAGCAGTTAAGCGTCAACCCATATACCAAGAAGTCACCAGTTAGATTCCCAGTCAGAACATATGCCCAGGTTGTGGGCCCAATCTGCAGTGGGGGGCCTGCAGGAAGCAGCCAATTGATGTTCTCTCTCATCAATGTGTCTCTCTCTCCCTCTCACTTCCCCTCTAAAATCAATAAAGGAAAAAACAAATTAAAAAAGAAAGTATGACAAAAAGACTGATGATGAACACAGAATATATTTTCTTAAAAAGGGATTAAGACAAACGTGGAAATAAGAAAATCTAATGCAAATGGCATATACCCTGACAATAGAAACATGATACATCCAACACATAAAAATGGGGAGGGGGTAAATGGACAATGAATATGAAGCTGAGATAGTTCAGAGAGTGCCACATATATGCCAGCAGCAAGCATATCAAGGAATATCATTTAGAGCTATCAAATAAAGTAGTATAGTAATGAGCCTTTTTTTTTTTTTTTGGTAATGAGTATTTTTAATACAAAAGTAAACAGGTAAAATCAGGTAGGAGAGAAAAAGAATAGGTGGATTAAGAATAGAAAATTGGCCCTGGCCGGTTTGGCTCAGCGGTTAGAGCGTTGGCCTGCGGTCCAGAGAGACTCGGGTTCGGTTCCCGCTAAGGGCACGTACTTCAGTTGCAGTTTGTCCCGGCCCTGGTTGGTCGTGCGGGTGGCAGCCACTCGATGTGTCGATGTTTCTCTCTCTCTCTCTCCCTCTCTCTCCCTCCCACTCTATCAGTACAAAAATTGGAAAAATGTCCTCGGGTGAGGATATAAAAAAAAAAAAAAAGAATAGGAAATTGTATGCTACTTTAAATAATTTTAATAACAGAGAAAGGCCAAAGGAATAGAGGACTACTGGAATGATAGTAACATTATAATTATGAGGATAAACAGGAGAACAAAAACACAACTTCCCTAAAAATCCAAACTACATTTACACATACAAAGCAACCATAGAGTAAAAGCTTTTTTTTTAAAAGATAACAAAAAAACTGTGACAGAACCAAGACCAAATAAATTATCATATCAAAGAATAGGTTTAATAAATAAATTTAACTCAACTATTAAAACAAAAGATTGTCATATAAGATCACAAAGGAAAAAACAAATCTGTTGAAAGTATGAGATATATTTAAAACAAAGTGATTCAGAAGTGTTGAAAATAAAAAGCTCAAGAAAGAATGTATCATGCAAATGGAAACTATAAGAAAACAAGGGCCCTGGCCGGTTTGGCTCAGCGGTTGGAGCGTAGGCCTGCGTTCCTGAGAGACCCGGGTTCGGTTCCCACTAGGGGCACATAACTCAGTTGCAGTTTGTCCCCGGCCCTGGTAGGGTCGTTTGGGTGGCAGCTACTCGACGTGTCCCTTTCGCGTCGATGTTTCTCTCTCTCTCTCTCTCTCTCTCCCCCTCCCACACTCTATCTGAACAAAAAATAGGAAAAAAGAAAAAAGAAAACAAGGGTTGTAAACCTAAAAGGCATTAAAACTTACAACAAAAAAGGACATTTATAAACATGTTAACAGATGCATTTACAACACAGTTTAAGAGTTAGATTCTATATTGCAAATAACAGCAACAATCTTAAAATAAAAGTACAATATATCAAAGACAATACTGGTAATCAAAGACGTAGACTAAGATGTGTTTCTCAATCCAAGACATTTCAAGCAGACGAAAAATAAGTAAAGATATGAAAATATAAATAATGTAATTAAAAAGCTAAATCTGACTGATAAATACAAAATTTCATACCATAAAAAAGAAATATATATATATTATGTATATAGTATACCTATTTTTTAGTTTCCATATAATATTAAATAGCCCATATACCTTTCAAAAAGGAAAAATAGTTATTTGTGAGAACCTGAACTTTTACCATTAAATGTCTGAAAGGAATCTATGCTGATTAATGCCTATCTCAAAAAACTTTCTAAGAATTAAATAGTGTATTTAAAGCTTAGTAGTCTGGCATGTGGTCTTAGATAAGTACATTGTTGTTATTACTGTAGAATATTTGACTTGTGTTTTATATATTTTCCATTAAAAAAACAAACATTGCCCTGGCTGGTTTGGCTCAGTGGTAAACAGCGCTAGCCCACAGAACAAAGAGTCGCAGGTTTGATTCTGGTCAAGGGCACCACACCTGGGTTCCTGTTAGGTCCCCAGCCCTGATTGGGGTCATGCAGGAGGCAACCAATTGATGTGTCTCTCTCAGGTCGATGTCTTTCTCTCTCTCTTTCTCTCCCTCTGCTCCCCTCACCCCACTCTATCTGAAGATAAATGGAAAAAAGTATCCTCAGGTAAGGATTTAAAGGTGTGTGTGTGGGTGGGTGTGTATGTGTATAAAATTAATTTAAAAAAAAAACAAAAAACCTTATTTCTGTGGTACAGCAAAAACCATTTACAAATAATCTAAAAATCATTTTTTCAAAATGGAAATTATTTTTTTATTTTTATTTATTTATTTATTTTTTCTTTATTGATTTTTTTTTTTAGAGAGAGAAGGGAGAGGGAGAGAGACAGACAGAAACACTGATAAGAGAGAACATCGATTGGCTGCCTCCTGCATGCCCCCACACTGGGGATCAGGCCCAAACCTGAGTATGTGCCCTGACCGGGAATAGAACTGGCGACCTCTTGGTGCATGGGTTGACACTCAAACACTGAGCCATACAGGCGGGGCTAATTTTTATTTATTGATTTGAGAGAGGGAGGGAGGGAGAAAGAAAGGGTGGGGAGAAACATCAATTTGTTGTACCCTTTCTTTTTTATTTCCATCCAAAATGCAAAACATTAAAAAATCAGGTATCTCATCAAAATATTATATAGCTAGGAAAACTGAAAGCACCTGTACAGGTTAATTTTCATACAAGAATAAAGCACAAAGTACAGTTATCAGGAGCTGGAAGTACTGACAGTCAAAATACAGCTTTGTATAGGAATAGATTGTATTTATGATTATAAGAATGTTACCTTTTTCTATTTTTTGTAATAAGTTAAATTTCAATAAAAAATTGTCAATCTCTGAAATCGTGAGCAAGAACTTTTCCTTAGTTATTTCTTTGCCATTGCACCCTTCCTCCTTTCTTTTCTTCATATAATCTACACTGCCTTTTTTTTTATCTCTCTCTTTTTCCCCTTCCTGACATTTATACTGGACATGCAAGGAGAATACAGGCTATCTTTACACAGACAGAGCAGAATACTATAACATCTACTCAAATATTTACGCGAAGTGTTATCTAAACCGCATATTTCATTTGTACTTTGAAATTTCTTAAAATCTAATTTTAAGTCCTTCCTGTACCAATAAAAAAGCTCAAATTATTTTAAAACAATTACATGAACAGTATTCTGGACTGAGTTAAAACAATTATTTCATGTGAAATGCTCCACCATTTGGATTTTATGTTTGAGTGTTGAAAATTAAACACAAAACTCTAATTTTCATTGTGACATGTACATGTTAGCAAGGACACAAAAAAAACTGAAGAAACTGTTAAGTTATATAAATTGTTAAATATAATAAAATGAAGTTTGAAGCATGGCATAATCTAGTAAATAAAATAATCTGATTAATGCATCATTTTCATTTAAAATGAGAACAGAGCCATCGGCCCACAGACCAAAGAGCCACAGGTTCGATTCCGGTCAAGAGCATATGCCTCATTTGCAGTTCAGTCCCCGGCCCAGGTCAGGGTCATGCAGGAGGCAACCAATCGAAGTGTCTCTCTAACATTGATGTTTTTCTTTCTCTCTCTCTCCCCCCTCCCCTCCCGCCCTCTCTCCCTCCCTCCCACTCAGTCTGAAAATAAGTGAAAAAATATCCTCCGGTGAGGATTTAAAAAGAAAAATAAATTAAATTAGAATACAATAAGCAAACATTATAATGTACATGAACTTAATTTTTTTTAATCCTCACCTGAGGATATTTTTTCTGTTTATCTTCAGACAGAGTAGGAGGGAGAGAGAAACATACAAGTGAGAGGGACACATGACTGGCTGCCTCCCACATGACCCTGACCAGGGCAGGGGACGAACTGCAACTGAGGTACACCCTTGGCCAGAATCAAACCTGCGACTCATTGGTCCGCAGGCCAACGCTCTACCGCTAAGCCAAACCAGCCAGGACTGAACTTAATTTTTTAAATTTAATGATTCAGAAGGAATTTTAAAATCTTCTATGAAGATAATCATTCTGAATATAAATTTTCACCTGTTATATGGAAATATCAACATGAGATTTCTTACCTAAATAGCTATAACATTATTTACTACAAATCAATATTATTTCTAGGGACTTACAAACCTTTTAAAACCAAATTCTGAAAAAATTTTACCTTCATGTGATTTTTCAAAGGATCCAAAAGATTGAAATGAATATTGCACTTTGGGCAAGCTCTTGGAAAAGGTGTTCCATTTTTAGATTGATTTGATAAGGCATTTGTACCTAAAATAAATTCAAAACATGATTCAAAATGCATCACTTTTAAACCTTAAATAACCACTAATAGTTTGTAAATGTACTACAATCTCTAAATTGTATGTATACATTTCTTTTTCATATGCCACATTGTATATTTACCTTTTGATGGCATAGCCTGGGGAGATGTCACTGAAAGAGATTTAGCTGAAGGAAATATAGCTGAGGAATTTGCTCCAGAAACACTTTCACTGGGCTTAGGTTTTTTTGGATTAACACTGTTTACTTCAGAAGTAGAAGGACGTTTTGATAAAAATGGACTTTCATTCACACCTACAATAATTTAAACAATGGAAAAAATATTTTTAAACACTTTAGAATATTGCTTACAACTAAATTAGAAATTCTCTGCAGCTAAACTAAAGGTATTACCATTGAATTATCATATTACAAATGACAATACATGATAAAAATTGATGTGCTCAAGTCAGGAGATGTAGACAAATTTTGCAACATCTATTATGGATTCAAATAATTCATAAAATAATCATTCTATGCAAGAAAATACTAAATATGGCTTCAAATAAATATATAAACAACTATGTAGGAAAAAAAAAAGCCAGACCAAACTATCCCAAGCAAAAATAAATAAATTATGCACAGGGAATACTCTGAACTAAGATAAATGAATTAATTATCTTTAGAGGTTAAGGACATTAAAACTTATTTTTTAAAAACAAGAATAAAAAGACCTGGCCGGTTTCGCTCAGCGGTTAGAGCGTCGGCCTGCGGTCCGGAGAGACCCGGGTTCGGTTCCCGCTAAGGGCGCGTACCTCGGTTGCAGTTTGTCCCCGGCCTTGGTCGGTCGTGCGGGTGGCAGCCACTCGAGGTGTTCCTTTCACATCGATGTTTCTCTCTCTCTCTCTGTTCCTCTCTCTCCCTCCCACTCTACCTGAACAAAAAGTGGAAAAATGTCCTCGGGTGAGGATAAAAAAAAAAGAATAAAAAAAAAATATATATATATATAGTCTGAAAAACCCGTGATAGAGTGAAGCTGCGAAAAGTCAAAGCACGAAGTAGGGAGGGACAACTGTATAAAGAAAGAATCCTACTTCGCAGAAATTCATTTATCGCGATAGAGTCTGGAACTGATTAACTGCAATAAATGAGGGCCGACTGTATATATGTATTCTAAAAATTTAGAGATCCCCCTTTACAAGCTTTTTATTTAACAATTTAAAACGTTTAATGGAAAGTTTGTTCTTTTCCCACCTAACAAAGAAGTGGTCTATTCATTATATTGCCCATTTGGAAACAACTAATCTTGAATGATAATATCTCATTTATTCAAACAAAAGAGCTCATAATGGAAGGAGTCAGGTTTTCACTGGCTTTTCTTAGGGACTACTGGACACGTCTGAGAGAGAAACTGTCCTGTTATATTTTGTTAGACTGTTACATAAAATTTGTTGTACAAAGATTTCATTCCTAAAAAGAGTTTTTAGTTTAAAAACCATCAACTTAAATCTAAAAGATATTAGTCTTATTCAGAGTATTAGCAAGAGAAATGGAGATTTTTAAGCTATACCTAGGCCAGGCAAGTCCTTTCTGAAAATAACACACAAATGTACTTGGTAATAAGAATTCAACACCTGCACATCATATTTTAATGCTCCCAACTGTATACTAAAAGTAAAATCAATAAAGTAAATATATTAGAAATATTCCAGGCTTGTTCCCATGAGACTTTCAGCTGATTTCACAACAGAAACTTTGCAGGCCAGAAGGGATTGGCAAGAAATATACCAAGTGAGGAAAAGCAAAAACCTACACCAAGATAACTCTACCCAGTAAAGCTATCATTTAGAATCAAAAGACAGATAAAGAGGTTCCCAGACAACAAAAAGGTAAAGGAGTTCATCACCACCAAAATGAGTCTTAAAAGAAAAAGAAGAAAAAAATAAGGATAAAAAAACATGAACAATAAAATGGCAATAAATACATAAATTGATATCAACAATTGACTCTCAAAACCAAAATAAACGAACAAGCAAAACAGAAACAGATTCAAGATACAGAGAACATTTTGATGGTTGCCAGATTGAAGGGGTTTAGGGGAAAGGGTGAAAAAGATGAAGGGATTAAAAAGTAAAAATTGGTTGTTACAGAATAGTCATGGGAATATAAAGTACAGCATAGGAAATATAGTCAATAACAGTCTAATAACTATGTATGGTGTCAGATTTATCAGGATGATCACTTAGTAAGTTATGTAACATCTAATCCCTGGGGTGTACACCTGAAACTAATATCATAATATATGTCAACTATAATTAGAAAACAAAAATGATTTTAAAATGGAAAAAAAAAATATTCCAGGCTTTGAAGTCAAACAGGCTAAGTTCAAATATACTCTCTGTCACTGCCTAACTACGTAGTCTTGGCTTATTTAACTTCTGAGTCTGTTTCTTCTTTTGTTACACCTTGTTTTACAAAGCTGTTTTAAGATCAAATAAGATAGTGCATTTAAAGCACCCCAAAAGGGGGTCAATGGGAAAAAAGTGGGAGGAGATCTGTAATACTTTCAACAATAAAGATAAAAATAAAGCACCCAACACAACATCTGTCACATAGAAAGCATTCAAAAATAAATGACAGACATAATCATTAGTAACAAAATATTTTATATCTTAACTTACTTTATAAGAAAAATATTATTCCAATAGATTCACCTGTCAGCTTTTAATAAGGGGAAACATGTCAAAAAAGTAAGTCATCACATTAACTGGCTCCTCTGTTTCATCTTTTGAGATAACATAAAAATGATTTTTTTTTTCCATCTTCAAAGCATATGATTACTGATGGCTATACTACAGGGACCTGGGAAAGATTTTGCGAAATCACAGTAGCATTCTTGTAAGATGTTCAGGTTACTTGAAAAGACAATGAGTTCTAGTTATTTTGGATTAAGCATCTAATTATATAACAGGCTGGACAATAGAAATAAACTTTTACTTCAACATTTTTTAACATAATAAATAAAACCCCTCTGCATTTAAGAGTTTTAAATTCTAACCGTTTAACTTATTTCTGTTGTCTTTGGTTTATGTGGTTTCTTATACTCAATAGCTCTTTCTCTGCCACTAAAAATCCTGTTATCATTCAAGATCAAGCTCAAATCTAATCTCCAGCACTCATGATCACTTGACAGTAGTCAGTTAATCATGCTACTGAACACAGAGCACATATTATCATTCATAACAACTATTTATTGTCAAGTCCTTTAAAGTTCATAATGCATTTCCATATTTTATCTTATTTGGACTTCAAAAAGCTCCAACTAAAATAGAGCAAGAATTAAATTTTTTTTCCAAATGGCTGATTCCAGGTCTGGAGAATGAATACATTAAATAAGAAATATAAAAATTCCATTTTAATAATATGAGAAAACTGAAGTGTAAAGAGTTGCTAAAGACTACAAAAATCAACAGTAACATTTCAAATCTACATCTTCTAAATCATCGTACTTATCACTCAGGCTGAAGTCTTTCTGCAGTAGGAAATTTAAAAAGCACTGTCCTTACTCAAAGAAGTTTCAAGAATTCAGACCTTTCCTGTGAACAAAGTCCATGTGTTTTATAAAACCAGACTCAAGACAACTATTGTTCTCTCCTTGTTTTTTTTTTTTTTGGTTCCTACCTATTTTTATTTTTATTGATTGATTGGTTTTAGAGAGTGAGAAAGGGAGGTGGAGAGAGGAAGAGAGAGAGCAAGAGGAAGAGAGAGAGACAATGGTTTGTTGTTCCACTTATTTATACACTCATTGGTTTATTCTTGTAGGTGCCCTGACCAGGGGTCGAACCTGCAACCTTGGTGTATCAGGAGGACACTCTAACCAACTGAGTACCCAGCCAGGGCTAGTTCCTACTTATTTTAAAAACTAGATTTTTACAAGTTTCTCAAGTAAGTGGCATCCAAAGAAGTGAATATCAACTAAGTATCACCTAAATAGAAAAACATTTTAAGCATGAATATTACTATTAAAAATTTGGGGTAGGTTTGGTAAATTCTCTATATTGATTTGTTAGAAAATAATTTTAAAAAGTCCCAAAAATCTTATGCATCTCTATCTAGTCAATATTTGAAATATTTCAAAATTGCTAATATACAAAGCATAGGTAATTTTCAATTAGATAAAATTTTTTCATACCACACTATTTTACTGTAGGTTAAATGAAGACCTTTGTTATGGTATAAAATCAAAGAACTTTAACTCTTCTTCAATAGGGAAATTTCATTACTCTTTCAAGGGTATTTAGTGAGTAATGACTATATATAAATTTATTATAGTCACTTTATAATAGCACTCAATAATCATATTTAACTATTATAGGTAAATGATTAAACAGAAATACACTAAGCTAATTAAGAAATCATACATTGTCACACTCATCATCATAGAAGCTAATTAATACTTCTTTTAACAGAGTATTCAGGTTATCAGAGGACTTCTCTAACTTACAGAATATTTTCATATTTTTCAACCCATGTTTATTTAGTGCAAGAGAAAACAATCTCAAAGTCAATTAGCCGACTTAATTAAAATTAATAAAATATTCTATTATTACGTAAGATTTTAAATTACCCAAGAAAGTCATTCAAGATTAGCACCATTCCACTTTATTATATAAAAAAATTAAGATGAATACAAGGACTTCAAAATAGAAAGTCAATTCAATCTGCATATTTATAAAGTTTCTTTTTATAGTTTTTGAACAAATACTAAAACCAACCTGCTATAGAAAGTGTTGGTCCCCCTTGGTAATGTGATAATCCTGTATCCTGGGTCAAGTCAAACAGTAACTCTGTAGTATTACTAGATGCACCTCGTGATGAGTTTGTTATGTAACCCTGTTAAAAGATTTCAAAGGAAGAGTTTTACATTTATTCAACACAGTTATAATCATTTTGTTTCATAAACTTTTATAAAAGTAAACTTAACTGTGTGCAATATTATAAGAATATCTTTGATGACTCAATTACCAAGAATGTATAAAACACTAAGGTAATTATTACTATCTGCCAAAATTATCATTACTAAATCTGAAAGCAAACAGAACTAGCCTATTCCTGACTAGCTAAAGTGGAGGCCAAGTTCTAGCATAATATTTTCAAGGTTAAAAAAACATACAAACCCATTTTAAGTCAATAAATTACTATACTTTATAAAGATACTAAAAATTTAGTATTCCCATCAAAAAGCAAATAATAGAACTTAGAAAAATCTTTGGGTAAATGCAAGAAAAAATAGTGAAAACATACAAATTTAATATTTCCATACCTCTATAAACCCCACAGACAAATAACAGGGCAAACAAACTGGGAATCAATCTGTAGTATTACGCATAGGGGTTAGGGATGACCATATCACATGGTATAAGTTTTAGAATCATCTTTATTAGAAAGATTTATAAGTTAAAGGTAAGGAAGAGAAAGAATGGATGCCCCCCACCATTCCACTTACGGAGCAAATATAAAAGCTGCCTGATTGGCAAAGTGAACAAATAAGAAAGTCAGGCAGACAGAGTTTAGAATGGAAGCTGTTTACAGGATTGATCTAGGCCAGCTGGAGGCCTTAAGGGCTCAAGAGAAGTTTCAGCCCTTCCATCAGGATGGTCCCAGCTAGCAGAATGATCTCAAGAAGAGCAAAAAGTGTCAGATGAATTATAATGCGGTCACATATAAAGCAGTATAAATTTACATTAACATACATATGTTTAGTATAAATAATTATGAAAAGTGTGGTCAATATCATTTAGGGACATATACTCCAATACTATTATATATTAAACATACTGATACACACAAAATATATTCCAATGCTATTTATAAAAGACCATCATTGAGGAGAGTAAGCTCTTGGTGACTTCTGGATTATTCTATATATCATAATATATTACATGCAAAAGCTTTAAGAGTAACAATGCTTAAAAATTAAAAGGGAAAAAGTCACTTTAAGAGAAGGTGCAAAGGACATAAACTGAAACACTTCAAAAGCAAAATACAAATGACCAACACATAACAAAAACTTTTACCAACTTACTAGTCAAAGAAATGCAAATAAAGGCAATGGCAATTTTTAACTACTGAATTGGCATGGTTTTAAAGATGATAATATCTAAAACAAAATAACTGGCCACTCCTCTTAAAAGTATCAAGGTCATGAAAGATAACCAGCAAACACTAGGAGACAAAGAAGAAATGACTAACTGGAATAACTACGGTGATCCTGAATAAGACTCTGGGAATGAAAATGACATTAATGGAAAAACTGGTAAAATCTGAATAAGGTCTGCAGATGAGTTAATGTTAACTACCTGATTATGATAACTGAGATGTTAGGATTAGGGTAAACTGGGTTAGGGGTTTATGGAACTCTTTGCATTATGTTCCCTGTTTTAAATCAATATTCATTTGAAATCAATTTAACATTTAAAAATTAAAAAGTAAAAAGTAACTGCCCTGTCTGGCTTGCTCAGTGGTTAGAGCATCAGCCCTTGGACCGAATGGTCTCAGGTTCAATTCTGGTCAAGGGCACCATACCTGGGTTGCAGGTTCAATCCCCGTCCCTGGTCGGGTCATGCGGGAGGCAGCCAGTCAATACATCATTTCTCTCTCTCTCTCTCTCTCTCTCTATATATATATATATATATATATCTCTCTCTCTCCCTCCCTCCTATCTAAAAAAAAAAAAAGAAAAAGAGGAAAAATGTCTTCAGGTGAGGAGTAAAAAGAAAGTAATTGTAACATTCACTATTGGCAAAGTAAATGAGGTTGTGGTACAACTTTCCTGAGTGAAAATTCTGGCAGTAGCTATCAAAGGCTTTGTATAAATACAGATCCTTTGGTCCAACTATCCCATTTAAAAAAAAATTTTTTTTTTTAATCCTCACCCAAGGACACTTTCCCATTTTTTGTTCAGATAGAGTGGGGGGGGGGGGAGGAGGAGAGAGAGAGAGAGAGAGAGAGAGAGAAACAACGTGAAAGGGACACATCGAGTGGCTGCCACCCACACGACCAACCAGGGCAGGGGACAAACTGCAACCGAGGTACATGCCCTTAGCGGGAACTGAACCCGGGTCTCTCTGGACTGCAGGCTGACGCTCTAATCACTGAGCAAAACCGGCCAGGGCCCACTTTAAAAATTTATGGTAAGAAAATGCGAATGTTTAATGGAGAATTTTTAATAGCAAAATAATTAAAATACGTATGTCTAACAATGGAAGAATGGTTAAGTAAATTAAATAGTAAACTATCATGCAACCACTAAGTTCATATTTTTTAGAAAAACCCAAAGAATATTCAAAGTAGAATGTTCAATGAAAAAAAGATGAATACGTATCTATGTATAGAGTATCTATGTATAGAGTATGGTTCTGATTTAATATATTCTATATTATCTGCAGGGGGGAGAAAAGTAAAAAAATATGTACTCTTCTGTCTCTTTCTAAACTTTATACAAAATACACACTATTATAAAGTAAAAACATCAAGGTTTTGTTTGTTTTGTGCTAATAAATTGAGGAATAATTAATTTTTAAATATTTTGTTTTGCTACTAACTTTTCTATTAACATGGCTTTATTAAAAAATTATGAAAACAGAGGTAAAAGGAGTCACAGGCAAAAAATTCTAGTCATAAAACAAGTAAGTCAATGAGAAGTAATGTACAGCATTGTGACTACAGTTAAAAAATATTATATATTGCATATTTGAAAGTTGCTAAGATATTAGCATTTTTTATTTAAAAAATTCTGTACATATGGTTACAGATGTTACATAGACTTACTTTGGTGATTATTTTGCAACATATACAAATATCAAATCTTTATGCTATATACTTGAAATTCATATATTATGTTAATTATACCTCAATAAAAGTAATTACAAGAAAGATAACGGCCTTCCTCACCACAGCCTGTACAAACTGCAGATCTGTGCCTAAACAAATGAATGGTTGTTGTTAACAAGAAAAAAGTTATGGAAACAGGTACTGAGGTAACCCAAACCACTGCTAATATTTGAGGCCTAATAGGAAGATACCTGCAGCTTAGCCTTAACATGTAATATTAAAAAGTTATTAATGCCATAGTCATATGACTCAATTGTAACCAAGTGCAATCTTATTTTAAGATAAATATTTTCTCCAAATATCTGTCCTTCAAAAATTGGAAAAGATTCATTTGCATTTTCCAAAATAGTACTTTAACAGAAATATAAAGTCAACACTAATAACACTTTCCTAGGAAACATCTCTGGTTAATTACCACACTTTCAGAAGTCAAGTACAAATTATTCAACATTAATGAAAATAATTCTGCAATAGGAAATTTTAATGTCTTATAAAACAGTTTGGAAAGATATCAAATACAATAGTAAGGCACTAACCTGGGATTCAGAAGACTAGCACATTTATTTAACTATGTAACTGGGCAAGTTACTTCTGAGCTTCAAGTTATTCACCTTTCAAACTTAAATGTACAGTAAAATATATGTAAAATGGACTAATTCGGGTGAGAGGGTGTCCGTTAAAGCTGAAAATCCATTATATAATAACATGTTTTCCAAATGCATGCTCAAAACGTGACAAATTAGCCCTGGCCAGTTTGGCTCAATGGTTAGAGTGTCAGCCTATGGACCAGACAGTCCTGGGTTCAGTTCCCACTAAGGGTATGTACCTTGGTTGGGGTTTGTCCCTGGCCCCGGGTGGGGTCATGTGTGTGGCAAACACTCAATGTTTCTCTCTCTTCGTCCCTCTCTCCTTCCCGCTCTATCTCAAGATAAACGCAAAAATGTCCTCGGGTGAGGATGAAAAAAAAAAGGGGGGGGGGGGCGTGACAAATTAGTTTACCTGTTTCTACTTATGTAGACACATTTGTGTAATTAAAATGAAATATGCATGAAAAGTTTAATTTCACAGGAAAGTTTTCTATATGGATTACTGTAATTTTAAATTTATAATGAATAGGTCTAGTAAATAAATGAGTTCATCAGTCACCACGAATAAACACATACACCTGTCTGGGGCGTGCCTTAGTGCACGTTGGAACATCAGCCTGCACGCATTAAAACTGCTGCAGAAAGTCACACCTTAGGACAGCAGAACCAATTACTGAGGGAGATGCGGTGTGATCAAGTGCTAATCATTTGTTAATCATTTGCCAAACATTGTTCACTATGAGTGACTCCTGGATTTAAATATGTAGACTATAGCTGTAGATATGTAATATTTTTTCTTTATTGATTTTAGAGCAGGCGAGAGAGATAGAAACATCAATGAGAAAGAACATCAATTGACTGTCTCCTGCATGACCCCCACTGGGGATCAGGCCAACAACCTGGGCATATGTCCTGACTGGGAATCAAACCGACGACCTCTTGGTGCATGGGTTGATGCTCAACCACTGAGCCACACCAGCCGGACTGCAATATTAATTTATATCAGTGAAATTACTAGTGTTTTTTCCAACATATGGCCTATTCACTAAAATAGGTTAAAAATAATAGTGAATTAATAACAAAAAAATAACCTGTTAATTGAATTGTAAGCAAATCTTGGTTAAAAGCATTTTTAAATTAATGGGGTGTTAATTTTCATATATGACATACGGACCAGAAATTTTGTTTGTTAAATTTGAAGTCCATTAAATCAAGGGTTTACTGTACTTGCACTTTAAATATATTTGCACTACACAGTACATGTATGGTCAAATATATCTGCACAACACAGTACATGTATGAATTGAATTAAGTAGTTGTCACAACAGCACTAATAAGGACCAAATATTATACCCCATTCTATACATTTATAGACTGGGTATAGTTACATAAGGTTCCAAACAGAACTTCTTA